GTGTCCGGGTGACTAAAGGCCACATTCCCATCCGGACTCCAAATTGACTAGTTCCGGTGGCATTAGAGAGCTATTTCAGTGGGCTACAATTCCCGTCTAACAACAAAATTCCAAATTTGGACTCGAACATGGTCAAAATTGGATAACAAAAGCGATCATGAAAATACGTACTACACATCAAGGACGTGAATGCGCATCAAGAAACGTGCACAAAAACACTCGGTAGAAAGGATACGCACATGAGTAAAAGTTCAAAAGCATGCACAAAAGTACTCAAGCAAAAGTGCATTCCCAAAAAGGATCATGAAAACACAAACTACAATCCTAGGACATTAATACAAATCAACAAACACGCACAAACACGCTCTCTCAAATGGACATGCACAAAAACATAAAAATGTAATAAAACATGCGCAAAAGTGCATCCGAAACAACGTTCTTAAAAACACGCACTACAATAGTATGACTTTAATACGCATCAACAGACAACAGCAAAAACACTAGATAAAAAAGATCCAAGGGAGTGTAGCAATAATACTCGACGTTTACGTTTACGTGGATTATTGTTTGGGTTAGTTTATGTTTCTATTTTTATTGGTGGATTTGGTATCTTTTAGTTACAAATCGAAAATTAGGTGTCCAGGAAGCAAAAATGATCAAAGGGTAAGAAAAGAGTTGCAATTAAGAAAATAAAATCTTATTAGAAGAGAGAATCCCACAACATCTTTGTTAGTGTCCACGAAGTCGAGCATAACTCTCTCATCCGGGCTCCAAATCGACTGGTTCCGGTGGCATTAGAAAGCTATTTCAGTGGGCTACAATTCCTGTCTAACGTCAAAATTCCAAATTCGGACTCGAACATGGTCAAAATTGGATAACAAAAGCGATCATGAAAATACGTACGACAATTCAAGGACGTGAATGCGCATCAAGAAACGTGCACAAAAACACTCGATAGAAAGGATACGCACATGAGTAAAAGTTCAAAAGCATGCACAAAAGTACTCAAGCAAAAGTGCATTCCCAAAAAGGATCATGAAAACACAAACTACAATCCTAGGACATTAATACAAATCAACAAACATGCACAAACATGCTCCCTCAAATGAACATGCACAAATACGTACTTGTAAAAAAACATGCGCAAAAGTGCATCCGGCACAACATTCTTAAAAGCACGAACTACAATACTATGACTTTAATTCGCATCAACAGACAACAGCAAAAACACTATATAAAATCAAATTAGAAGAGAGAATCCCTCAACGTCTTTGGTAGTGTCCACGAAGACGAGCATAACTCTCTCATCCGGACTCCAAATTGACTAGTTGCGGTGGCATTAGAGAGCTATTTCAGT